GCCGCTCAAAGCCTGGGGATACAGGCCGAGGAGGTGGAGGAGATTTGGACCCTGTTGTGGACATCCTGGCTCCCTCCGGCCCATCTAGGGTTGCTCTGCCATTGATAAAAACATTAGTTGACACATCCAAAAATCTGTGGCAGACCCCCGCTTCTCTGGCCCCCATGGCCAAGAAAACCAAGCGGCGCTACTTCGTACCGTCTAAGGGGTACGAACACCTATATACCCACCCTCCCCCAGACTCTTTGGTGGTCGATGCAGTCAATCAGAGAGAGCGCCAGGGGTTCCAAGGCTCCACCCCTAAAAACAGGGACGTCAAGAAGCTGGACCTATTTGGCCGAAAGGTCTATTTGACCGGGGGCCTGCAGCTCCTCATAGCCAACCAGCAGGCCACTGTAAGCCGCTACGGACATAACACCTGCTCGGCAATGGCTATGTTTGCGGAGCTCCTGCCTCAGGACTCTCGGGTGGAGTTCTCCGCACTTGTGGAGGAGGGGAACTTGGTTTCCCAGGCCTCTCTGCAAGCGGCTCTGGATGTGGCGGATGCAGCCTCTTGCTCCTGGCTACAGGTCTCTGGACTGCCCCACGAGGTCCAGCAGACCATACAGGACCTCCCCTTTGAGGGATCCTCCCTTTTCTCTGAAAAAACAGATAAGAGACTGCACAGTTTGAAGGACTCTAGGGCTACCCTGCGCTCACTGGGGCTCCACACGCCAGCTACCCTGCGCAGGCATTTTAGGCCTCAGCCTGCCCCTCGGCCTTAGCAGCTGCAGAACCGCCAGGACGCTCCGCGTAGGAGAAACAGGAGTGGTAAGAAGAGGCAACATTCCTCCTCTGGGCAAAATTCTGGCCAGCCCAAGCCTCTGCCCGGGCCTACACCACCCTTTTGAAGGTGCGGTCGAGGACGGCTCACCAGTATGGACTCTGGATCCTTCCCCTCTTACCTTGTCGTCCTGTCTATCCCCTTTCTACCATGCCTGGTCCTGAATTACTTCAAACCGTTGGGTTCTCCGCACGGTAGAGAGGGGATATTCCATCCAATTCTGTGCCCTGCCGCCCCTCCAACCCCCTTCCCTGTCCCGCTTGTCACGAGCAACTTCTAATTCAAGAAGTGCAGTCCCTCCTCTCGGTGCGGGCAGTGGAGGAGGTTCCTCATGAGCTAAGGGGGAAGGAGTTTTACTCCCAGTATTTCCTAATACCGAAGGCCAAGGGGGGCCTCAGACCCATCTTGGACCTGCGGCAGCTCAACAAGTTTGTAAAGAAACTCAAGTTCCACATGGTCTCACTAACCTCCATTATCCCCTCACTGGATCCGGGTGACTGGTACGCTGTCCTCGACTTGAAGGATGCGTATTTTCACATCGCAATAGTCCCACATCACAGACACTACCTCAGATTCATGGTGAGCAGCAGCCACTATCAGTTTGACGTCCTCCCGTTCAGACTGTCGGCAGCTCCCCGAGTATTCACAAAGTGCATGGCAGTCGTTGCGGCATTCCTGCGCAAGCGCCAGGTACAGGTTTTTCCTTACCTCGACAATCGAGGGTCGTTCAAGAGCCCAAGTGGAGGGTCAGGTCGAATTCATAAGAAGGACCTTCCTCGAATTTTAGGTCTCCTCCTAAACGAGACCAAATCTACTCTGTCCCCGGTGCAGAGGATAGAGTTTATAGGCTCAGTCTTAGACTTGACTCAAGCCAGGGCATACCTCCTGGAAGCCAGGTTTCGCTCACTAGGGGACATCATACGGGGCCTCAGACAGTTCCCCACGACCACGCAAGGAATTGCCTAAAGCTGCTGGGACACATGGCTGCGTGCACCTACGTGGTACAGCACGCCAGGCTCAAACTGTGCCCACTCCAGTCTTAGCTGGTGTTGGTGTATCGGCCAGCCCGAGACACTCTGGACAGCATCATAACCCTGCCCTGCCCGGTGCTGGACTCCCTCCTATGGTGGCTCGACCCACAAGTGGTTTGTGCGGGAGTGCCCTTTGCCAGCCCTCAGCCCTCTCTCTCATTGGTGACAGACGCCTTGGATCTGGGCTGGGGAGCTCATCTAGGGGACCTCAGGGCTCAAGGCCTCTGGTCTCAAGCAGACCTCGCTATGCACATCAATGTCAGAGAGCTGAGAGCGGTACAACTGGCATGCCATGCTTTCAAAATCCACATAGCAGGCAGGTGTGTCTCAGTCCTCACGGATAACACCTCAGCGATGTTCTATATCAACAAACGGGGAGTGCACGCTCCTCTCCCCTATGCCGGGAAGCCCTTGCGCTGTGGGACTTCTGCGTAGAGCACTCGATCCACCTGCAGGCATCATACCTCCCAGGAGTGCAGAACGAGCTGGTGGACAATCTCAGCCAGACCTTCCACGTCCACAAGTGGTCCCTCCGTCCAGACGTGATGAGTTCAATCGTCCATCTCTGGGGCTCTCCCCAGATAGACCTGTTTGCCACTCGCGGCAACAGGAAATTTCAGCTAGTCTGCTCCCTCATGAGTCACAGTCCAGGGTCCATCGCAGATGCCTTCCTCCTCCCGTGGGGGGGCTGCTGGCTCTATGCTTTTCCAGCAATTCCGCTGCTCCACAAGGTGCTCCTCAAGATCTGCAGGGACCAGGCCCGAGTCATACTGATAGCGCCGGCGTGGCCGCGCCAACACAGGTTCACGTCGCTCCTGGGAACGTCTGTAGCAACACTGCTCACTTTACCGCTGGTCCCAGATCTGATCACGCAGAACCCTGGCTGACTCTGGCACCCGAATCTAGAGTTGCTCCACCTCACGGCCTGGATGCTCCATGGCTAAACATCGTGGAGTTGTCATGCTCGGATCAAGTCAGACAAGTCCTCCTTGGTAGTAGAAAGCCCTCCACCAGGGCAATGCATCTTGCCAAGTGGAAAAGGTTCTCCATCTGGGTGGAGCAACGCAGTCAGTCGCCGTTGCTCGCCCCCAAACCGTTCATACTGGACTACCTCCTTCACCTAAAACAACAAGACCTGTCCCTGTCATCAATAAGGGTCCACTTAGTTGCCATCTCTGCCTTCCATCCAGGCACAGATGGCTTCTCGGTCTTCGCAAACCCTCTAGTCAGTCATTTCCTCAAGGGCCTAGACAGGCTCTCCCCGCAGATGCATCAGCCTGGGACCCTAAACTAGGCCTCTTCAGACTTATGGGCCCTCCTTCTGAACCACTGGTGACCTTCTCCCTGCTCTATCTCTCGTACAAGGTCGCGTTCCTCGTGGCAATTACCTTGGCTAGATGGGTATCGGAGCTCTGGGCTCTAACGTCCGAGCCCCCTTACACAGTTTTTCATAAGGACAAGGTCCAACTCAGACCTCACCCGGCCTTTCTCCCTAAGGTTGTCTCCCAGTTTCACATGGGCCAGGACATCTTCCTCCCAGTGTTTTATCCCAAGCCACACTTCTCCGATAGGGAGCACAGGCTGCAGTCACTGGATGTACGTAGGGCCCTAGCCTTCTACGTAGAGAGGACTAAGCCATTCCGGAAGTCCATCCAACTCTTTGTGGCCTTGGCGGAATGAAAGTTCTCCCTTTCTCTTCTCAACGCATCTTGTCGTGGATCACATCCTGCATTCGGGAATGTTATGAGGATGCCTGCCCCGCCGATTACCGCCCACTCTACCAGGGCCCAGGCCTCCTCGGCAGTGTTCCTGGCACAAGTCCCCACCCAGGAAACCTGCAGGGCGGCCACGTGGTCCTCAATATATACATTCACGACACACTATGCAATTACACAACAGGCCAGAGACCATGCGGCTTTTGGACACGCTGTGATCCAATCAGTGCATGACTCTGACCCCACCTCCTAAGCTTTGGCTTGTGAGTCACCTGGTTGGAATGGACATGAACAATCTCTCTCGAAGAAGAAACAGTTACTCACTTTCTCGTAACTGTTGTTCTTCAAGATGTATTGTTCATGTCCATTCCAATACCCACCCTCCTACCCCTCTGTCGGAATAGCCGGCAAGAAGGAACTGAGGGGGTGGAGGGCTGGCAGGGCCCTATATGGGCGCCATGAAGGCGCCACTCCAGGGGCGCCCAGGCCGACCCTTCCTACGCTGCTAAGGGAAAAGTCTTCTGGCTGGAGTGCACGTGGAGCGTGCACGCCTGGTTGGAATGGACATGAACAACACATCTCGAAGAACAACAGTTACGAGAAAGTGACTAACCGTTTTTTTTTTTAAAAACCCTCAGCAAGGTAACAATGCAATAAAATGATTAATGCAATTTCTCTAAGCTAGTACTGCTTAAAGAGAAACAGTGGGGAAGATAAACTAGCATATGATCACAACAAATAGTCCAGATGTATTAGTTCTGTAGGTACATGTTTCCCACAAGCAAGCTGATATTATAGCAGCATAACTAGAGGTCTTCCATTTTATTGGCTAAATTAACGTATAGAGACATCTGTAGGCATTAGGAAACTCATTCAAAGAACACTAGCTAAAAGAACAGTAAATATTCTATAATTACTTTTGAAATAGCTTTAGTCACCTAATTTGTTGTTGGATAACTGTGACTCAACTCTGTCCAGCATATGCTGCTCGGATTTTCTAATGCGGTGGTTCTCAGTCTATGCTACATGGTCTTTGCTGATGATCCACAGAACGAAACATTTTGAGACCCAAGCAGTGGAGAATTGGAAGGAGAGGCAGGTCCACGAGATGATCCTTGTCATATGAAGTGGTCCTCAGAATAGAAAGGAAAAAACAGACTATGTTTGTTCTGATATGTGTGGCTATTTTCCCAGTTACTAGGGTCTCTAAGAAATGGCTTATACTGTACGTCTTTTGGGAACAGGCTTGGATAATAAAATATTTTGTTTCATGGTCTGTGGCACAGACTGTGTCTCTTAAAGAAATATCAATGCAAAAATAAGGCTCACAGTGTGTGGATTCAGATTTCCTGTTTAGATTTGGTGCACCGTATTCCCAAATTTCTTTAATTAAAAGCGTATTATCAAATAATGTAATTTACTTTTCTCTAGATCCAACATAAGACCGGACAATGCAGATACAAATTTTCATGAGTTCAAAATGCACACCTTCACTCGTGTCACATCCTGCAAAGTCTGTCAAATGCTTCTGAGGTAAGTCTTATAGTGTAAAGTATTGACTTTAATTTAATTCACGTACCTTGCTGGGAAAAAAGAGTATGGAAATGACATGCATGGTGAGAGAACTGTTCAAGATAGGTTAGGTTTCTTTTACAGATAGTCTATGTGGGGTTTTTTTTTTTTGGTATTGAAAAGTTTTACCAGACCTCAAAATGGGAGCAGAAAGGCCTGCAACATTGTGACCCATCACTACCAAGCATCTTAGCACCACTCTTTCCTCTTCTATTTCCTGATTCCAGCTCTTCAGTTTTATATAAGTTGTTAATAGGGCTGTCAACTGATTAAAACATTAATCACAATATATTACTAGATTAAAAAAATAGTTGCGATTAATTGCAGTTTTAATCACACTGTTCAACAATAATAGCATGCCATTTCTTTAAATATTTTTTGGATGTTTTCTACACTTTCAAATGTATTGATTTTAATTACAACACAGAATACAAAGTGTACAGTGCTCACTTTATATTCTTATTTTTTATTACAAATATATGAACTGTAAAAAAGATAACAGAAATAAAACAATATAAAATGAGATCTTACATGCTGATGATGGGTTTTGCTCAATAATGATCCAAAGCAGTGCGGATGGACACACATTCATTTTCATCATCTGAGTTAGATGCCACCAACAGAAGGTTGATTTTCTCTTTTGGTGGTTTGGGTTCTGTAGTTTATGCATCAGAGTGTTGCTCTTTTAAGACTTGTGACAGCATGTTCCACACCTCATCCATCTCAGATTTTGGAAGGCACTAAAGATTCTTAAACCTTAGGTCAAGTGCTTTAGCTATCTTTAGAAATTTCATGTTGGTACCTTCTTTCTGTTTTGTCAAATCTGCAGTGATAGTGTTCTTAAATTGAACAACATATAGTGGATCATCATCCAAGACTGCTGTAACACAAAATATATGGCATAATGCGGGTAAAACACAGAGAAGGGGACAAACAATTCTCCCCCCAAGGACATCAGCCACAAATTGATTTAATACATTAATTTTTTAACGAGCATCATCAGCATGGAAGTATGTCCTCCTGGAATGGTGGTCGAAGCATGTACCAATGAACTCCTTACTTCCCCAGTGGGTCAGACTTGGAATAAAAGCCATGGGTAGGCTTGAATCTAAACCCCACTTGAAATTCAAAGGGCTTCAAAATTGAACTTATAATTTATGAGAGTTAGGGTATGTCTATACTTAGGGTTGCCAGCCATCCAGGTTTTACCTGGACAGTCTGGTTTTTGGCATCTGTGTGTGGGTGCCATTTAGAGTTGCAAGGTGCCCAGTTTTTCACCAGGAAGTCCAGTCGAAAAGGGGACCTGGCCGTCTCCGGTCAAGTGTACTGACTGGACACCAAAAGTCCAGTTACTGTGGAGTCGGGGGAAGCGCCAGGTTATTAACCTTCGGCTCAACCGGGGCGGCCTCCCACCTGCATACAGGCTCCTTGTCAGGCTGCAGCAGCTCCCCTCCCAGCCCCGGAGCAGAGGGAGCCCAGATGTGGGGGAGGGAGGGTGGAGACAATCCAGTGAGCAACAGGGGGAGGGGGAGAGAGGAATGAATGATGGGGGCATGGCCTTGGGGAAAGAGGTGGGGCAGGAGCCATGGCTAGGGGGGGGGGTGGGGTCTGGTTACCAGCAATTAGAAAGGTGGCAACTCTATCTATACTGCAATTAAAAACCCACTATTGGCTCCATGCCAGGTGACATGGGCTCGTGGGGCTTGGGCTAAGGGGCTGTTTAATTGTGGTGTAAATATTCAGGCTCGGGCTGGAGCCTAGGCTCTATGACCCTGCAAAGTGGGAGGCTTCCAGAGCAGTTAAATACCTTCTTTGCCCAAGCCCTCTGAGTGCAAGTCAGCTGGCACAGGCCGGCTGCGGGTGTCTAATTGCAGTGTAGGCATACCCTTCCTCCAGGGGAGAGCGCAGGGCTCTCCGAGGTGTGCTCAGCGGCTCTTAACATTCATCAACGTCTTTCCTTATACTTTTCTTTTTAATGGAAGCAGTTTATAGTCAATAATATAGGTAATAAAATCTTCTATCCTGAAAAAACAATCCCTCCAAAATGAATCCTGTCCTAGTATGCATGTTCATTATACATTCCTATTGAAATCAAATGGAGTGTGGATCAGTGATAGTATAGGGACACTGTGGTATTTATACTTTGTACAATTTTGGCATGTACCGTGCCAAACCCCATTTTGTGCCCAATTGATATGAAGTGTGTTATTCCACCAGTAAACCAGGGGAACTATCTGGCTCTAAATGGCTTGAAGTTCTGAAAAGGAGACTGGAGTTCCATGTTACCCATGATCTGTTGCCACTGTTCCTCAAGCTTTTAGGTACAATCATTGTGCAGCACAGCAAATGACTTCTACTGCCATCTGCAGTATTTTTAAAATTTTTCTTTATGCTAATTATTTCATATATGCAGCTTTTTATCACTTAATGTATCACTATCTAATTTTACTTTACAGAGGAACATTTTATCAAGGCTATTTATGTTCTAAGTGTGGAGCTGGGGCGCACAAAGAATGTTTAGGGAGATTAGACAATTGTGGCAGAGCTAATTCAGGTGGTAAGTCATTTTTATTGTTGGAATACTGTTTTTAATTAGGACATAAAACTTGCTAGATATAATTAAGGTTTAATTTACCTCTAATTTGTGTTTATTGTAACATGCATACTTTTGAAACTACCATTTATAAGCACGATTAGAATTGCATTTAAAATTCATAGTGACTTTTATTCTTGCTAAACTGAAATGTAAGAGAGGAAAGGAGTGAGAACTGCTGTAGGACATAGCAGTGTTCCTGTACAGCAACAGATTGTTCTGGTTTTAATCACGAACTGCTCATAAGTAACATCTGTTATATAGAAAACCATCCTTTGACACACCCCGCCCCCAATGTCTCCATCTCAATCTTCCTCTTTTGCTCTCATCAGCTCCTTGAGCTATTTGTTTGTGCTGCCTCACCTTCCTCTCCCTGTTAATTCTCTCTTTGATCTCCTTGGTTTCCATGGTTCCCACACACTCCACTCAAAATGTTCTCACTAACATAATTGATGGCTTACTACTGTCCACATCTAAGGACTTCATTTCTGTTCTCATCCCACCTGGTGACTCCTTCCCCATTGGTTTTCTCCCCTACCTATGTCACTCTAGGCTTTCCTGATTCTCTTTCTACCTCTCTAATCATCCCTTCAATGTATCTGTCTGAGGCTCTACCTTCTTAAATAAATAAAATATATGGAGATATACCTATCTCATAGAACTGGAAGGACCCTGAAAGGTCATTGAGTCCAGCCCCCTGCCTTCATTAGCAGGACCAAGTACTGATTTTGCCCCAGATGCCTAAGTGGCCCCCCTCAAGGACTGAACTCACAACCCTGGGTTTAGCAGGCCAATGCTCAAACCCCTGAGCTATCCCTCCCCACCATTGAAACAAGCAATGTATATAATCTGTTCACCGTTAGAGATCTATACTCCCTGGGAACAGCTTTCTCTATTTCCTCTCTGTTGAGATCCTGCAGAGCTTCGTCCTCCCCTTTCCACTTTCATCTTATCCCTGGTACCTCATCCACTCTTGTGACTTACGCTACAGCCTCTCTCCTGCAACTACCAAGCTTTCCCTTCCTCTGACCTCTTCTCTCTCTTTAATATTGCATCTCTGTTTATCTGTCTGACATCTCCTCCTGGATGGACTACTGCTAACTAAAACTTGACCGAATTTTTCAACTGTTTATTTCTATAGGAACTTTACAGGTTTACAGATCCATGCCATATAAATATCAGAAACAAAACAATAATCATTACAACGGTGAGCTTTTGCTTTTAGAGAAACATGATACAGTAATATAGTCATCCCTATTTAACACTGTTACCCTATTACAGAGTGAGCATCTTTACGTTGCAGGAGCATGCACAGGAATAAAAATTTGGCCACTTTTTGGAGGGGCACTTTCTGTGCTCCACATGGCTGGAGAAGCTTCCCTCCCACCCCCGTGGCCGGAGGAGCTGGTTTTCCCTGGGGCCGATGGAGCTGGCTCTCCCGGCCCCAGAGGAGTTCTGTGCCCATGCTGATTGGGGGGTGGGCATGCCCCTGCTTGCTCCCCTTTCCATATGCCCCTTCCATGACATGTCATTTCTAGCGACTGTATTAAATTGAGTGAAATCTCTGATTACACATTTAACAAACCAGGCATGTATATCAAATATCGATATTAAAAGTATTGGACAGGTGTACTAGGATTTTTTTGGTGAATATACTTTGAGTATTGAATAAATAGTAACCAAATGTCTAAGCATCTTTTTGTTGTCTAGAACTGGATAGAAATGTTAATTCCTCATCTTTCTTCCTTCCCTTTCTTCTTTCTGCCTACTCAGTTGCTGTCAGTAATTCTGCTACCCTCCCTGTCAACCAAGCTTGTAACTTTAGTGTCATATTTGACTCTTCCCTCCATCCAGGCTCTCAGCAAATACTGTCACTTCTTCTGAAAAAAAAAAATCATAATGTTGGGAAATGTACAGATGTTTGACAGAATTTTCCAAACATCCATAGAGCTCATTGAAACATTGGGGGGGAAATTGTGAAAAATTTTAGCTGATAAAAATTTCCCTATATTTTGTTGGAAATTTTTTTTTCATTTAAACTTTTCTGACCAGTTCTTTTTCTTACCTCTCTAAATCTGGTCTTTGCTCTCCAGTCTTATTGCTTAAAACCTTTTCTGTTGCTTGTCCATCTCTCACTTAGGCTGCAGTAATCTCTTCTGTTCTCTGACTTCATTACTTACAATCTATGCAAAATGTGTTTACAAAAATAATCTCTTCCACTGCTTGGACCATATCATTTCCTTGTATACAACCCTTCACTGGCCTTTGCTTTCAAGGCTCTGCACAAGCCTGCTTCTACCTACATCTCTGCTCTCATTTCTTCCAACTTTCCACTTTGTTATGCAAAAGCCTCCTTCCAAACTGCTCTCCTTTAGTTTTCTTCTTCACTGTAAACTCCAGTTCAGGAAAGCATCCCTAATCAGGAGAGCATTTATGTAGGTGCTTACATGGGATTTAGCCTCTTCATGAGGGTTTCCTGAATCCTGTGTCTTCTTACATGCTGTCCTAAGAACAGTCTCTCACTTCTTGTGTACCAAATGATCCACGTGCTTTTTCCATTCGAATCTCTCTCAGAAACATACTTCTTCCACAAAGCCTTTTAAGGGTAAGCTGCCAAAGTCAGATTTTTAAATTATATCATCATTTTAAAATATATTTAAAACAATCGAATGTAACTAATTGAAACAAACAACGTATATGGATCTGTTTGCCATTAGAGATCTATACTCCCTGGGAACAGCTTTCTCTATTTCCACTTTCTTCCCCACTCCCACCTTCACCTGTTATCATTTTGCTCGTATTTTTATCTTAATTAGATTACAAGCACCTTAAGGGAAGGGACGTCATATTTCAATTTGTCTGAAAAGTATTATATATACACACACATGGTGCAATGTAAATCAACAATAATAGTCATAAATGTTTAGTTAACTCAGGTTCTCCGATTTTTCCTCAATTCTCCTGAATATACACTGAAGTAATGCTGTTCAGTTGCTGGAGGCAAAATAATCACACACATGCTACTTCATGAATTAATGAACTGAAAACATTTTCATTTTACAACATCCAAAGATACAGTATGTTCTTTTTGATTTTATTTAGAATGTTTTACCCTGATTTTTTAAAAATAGAAGTACCATATGACTCTGTCATGAATCAGTGGTTGTTCAACACACTTTGATGCAATTGGATTATGTAATTATTGCATATTACTTTATTTATTTTCGTTTATTCTGATTGTTTAATTTTTTCTGTCTATGTGCACTTTTCTTTCTCACCATTTGTCCTTTCCTTGCCTATATGACGGCTCCCATGTTTCTGTACTTCCTATACAAACTACAAACTTGTTAAAACAAAAGTTCCCCCCCCCCCCAAAGAATCAGAAAATTTGTTTTAAAACTGATCACTAAGGAACAGGATGTGACTTCTTTACAGTCTTCTATTTCTGCTATATCCTTTTGGGATGGGGTGACAAGAATTCAAAACAATAGTCCAGGTGAGGGTGTGTCATTAATTTATGTACTGGCATTCTAATATTTCAGTATTTTCTCTCTCCTTTTTAATATAGTTTAACATTTTGTTTTCCTTTTAGACCACTGAGCAGATGTTTTCACTGAGCTGTCTGAACTGATGCCTAGAACTTTACCTGAGTGGTTTAAGGCCCTTTTATAGTGCATTCCAAGCCTGTTAGAATCATAGAATATCAGGATTGGAAGGGACCTCAGGAGTTACTGAAAATTCAAAAAATAGACTTCTAGAGACAGATGAAACCTTAAGAATGACAAATTTAATAAGTGTCACATTTAGATGATACACTGATGAGGAAGATGTGACTAAAAATAAATTACTACTTTGTCAAGCGATGACTTATATGCAGACATATGCCAGTTCTTTAGATGTCTTGTTTCAAAGAAGGCCAATTCAATAGATTATAGAAGTTGCAATGATAAAGGTGCTCTAGTAATCAGTTGAATTGCTGAATGGTATAAAATGTCCAAATTCAGCCCTGGCTTTTCTTATTGTTATTCCTGCCCCTACTTCACTGAGCATCTCTTGTGGAAGTCCTGTGGCTGTGTTCACTTCCTCCGCTATCAGCTTATCCTTTCTTCCTGCAGTGCTGCTTTGTTCATGCCCAAGCAGTCCTTCATTTCTTCTGTCATTCACTTCCAATCCCCACCAGCTCTTCTCTACTCTTAACTCTCTGATCAATTCCTCCTCCCTGCCTCCCCTTTCTGCTCGTATTCTGACAGATTCCTTCAGTGGGGTTGTATAGTTGTAACAAAGCACAGATTTTAGCAAATATGTATATATTTTCATTACAGGAGCATTTATAAGGGCATACTGGTTCCCAATTGAATGGCTTTTGTGAAGATGCACCCAATTTTGTCCAAATCAAAAACTTAGGCTACTCAAAATATATTATCCACACTGCTTGTGCTCACTAGCTTGAACTCTCCACCACTACATCACAGGCTGGTATTTCTTCCCTCACTCCCTTCCTCTCTTCCTTTACTGTTCTTCTTTTCACCAGCATCTAAAGTTAAGCTCTCCAAACATCTTTCCACCTCCAGTCCCTAAGCCTGTCCCTGTCACACATGCACTGCTGCTCAGAACAGGGGATAGGAGGGCCATTTCACCTTGATTTCCTGTCTGGTAATGTGGGATCTTCCTATCACCAGAGGAAGGTGATGCTATATGGATGGAGTGAAGAGCGGGATTAGGGCAGCAGCACTCCTTGGGGCCAGGGAGCGGGAGAGCGGGGGGAGGAGGGGATTCTCCCTGTGCTTTTTGAAGAGATGGGGAGAAGCTGTGCCACCTCATGTTCACCCTTTCATTGTGCACACGTAATAGGAGTCAGCTCTGTGGGCCTTACAGTTTCTTGACGTTCCTCAGGACTACCCTAGAATGCCAATAACTGAGCTTGATTCCATTTTAATAATCTAAATCAGGGGAAATACCAATCT